GCGCCCGGGCCCGCTTAGGCGCGGGGGGACCCCCGCAAGTCCCCGGAGGCTCCTAACTTTGCAAGAGTTTTGTAAAAGGGAAGCCGGGGATCAAAGTAAACAGAAACTTTCCACCCTCCTGGGGTTTTTCTTTTTCCCTTTGCTGGCGTTTAGTATTTCCTGGTTTTACATTTATGATGAACATTGCGCTGGAAGTGGTGGAATGCGTAAGAGGCAACAAAACCCCAGAGCACAGCGCCGCTGCTGCCTCCCTGAGGGCGCGGTGGGCTCTCGGTGACGGAGCCCAGGCGCCGGGCGTCCGGTGGCGGCCCTGCCTGGGCCACGGCCGCCTGTGTGGCCTGGGAAGACCCGAACCTCGCTGGGCCTCTCGCCCATCTGTGAAATAAGAGAGTCACCGTCTGGCCGAAAGCTTCAAGTCACTCTCAGCCCGTCCCCTCCTTTGACCCTCACAGAAGGCTTCAGTGAAGGGTTTCTTTTTTCCATTACTTCCTCTCCACATAGGCCAGAAACTTTCACGGGCCTTTCATTCTTGGAGTCTCCCTCTGAGGCTTATGTCCCAACGTTCCTCCCAGGAACCCAATGGCTAGGCCAAACCAGGGTGGTCGTCAACCCTTAGACTCCAGTCTTTCCCTTTTCTGTCCCTTCACTGTTTGCACCTGACCTAAGATACTCTTTCCTCCCAGAGCCTTCATGCCCCCTCCCACTGCTGCAAAGCTCGCTGTCCTCCACCGCCCAGCTCAGATTCTGCTTTCATCATAACGCTCTTCTGGCTTCCAGTGCATTCAGCTAATGGTGCTCCCCGCCTGGCTTTCGTCATTCACATCTCTCCCAGAGACATACCGTTCTCTGCCTTGTAGCAGAGTTTCTGTAACCTTGGCTTCTAAACCAGAACTTCCTCAAGGGCAGAAATGTCTGTGCCCCCCAGCAACCTGCACAATCCCTGGTCTGCAGCTGGTGCTCAGAAACACATGACACCAGATGCCCTCCACCGGGCCTCTACATGCCAACCGCAGGCCTCCTGTCCACCACATGCACCTCCTCTCCCTCCCTGAACATGGGGATTTAAATTCCACCTCTTTAAACTCAGTTTCCTCATCTGTAAGATAGGGATGATAGCACCTACTTTATGATATTGTTGTGAGAATTAAATTAAATCATGTAAAGCTCTTAGGGTAGTGTGCCTAGAATAATAAATATTATATAAAAACAACAACAATAGTAATAAGTTGTCATATCCCAATGCAAAATTCTTTAATAACTGCATCCTACATTCCTTATTAACACATTCAGATCTTCTGCCTGGCTTTTGGGGGCCTCCATTGTCTGCCGCAATAGCACCCATCCCATCTTGTCTCCATTCACTGGCCAATCAGTGCCCTCACAGGCCTTTTACTTCTCTGTCTCACACGACCTCTGAGCTTCCTATCGCTCCCTTCCCTGCGTGCCTTCAGCTGTTCCTTGGCCTATCCAAATGTCTGGGTCCCCTGCTTCCTCTTTGCTCTTCTTCCTTCAGCACCTGCGGTACTTCTACCCGACCACTCATCAGCACATGACCTTGTACCGTCTTAGCAGTTGTTCTCACCTGGTGCTTGTGTGTTAGCTTTTTCTCCCCACTGTATGAGAAATTTCTAGAAATAGATTTGTGGTTTTTTTACTTCTGCATTCCCCGTATTGACAAGTAGTGTCGAGTTACATAATCATTGGTTAGTAAATGCTTATTATCCAAATACTTTGTGATGGAAAGTTTTAAAAAAAGAACAGAATACAAAATGGGTTAATTTGTCTTGAAGTTTTATTCGTTTAATTTTTTTCTTGAAGCTTTTAATTCTTCATTTTTCCTCAGTGATCTCCTCTAAATTTATGCTGTTGCCTTTTCAGCCCTGCTCTAAATGGCTGCAATGAAGAGAAATCCAATATTATGTGGGAACTCTCTAAAATCTTGGCTTGTGCAGTTTGAAGCTGCTTGTGAATGTAGCTCTGTTCAAAGAGCTGACCGATAGCTGTGGGTGAAACTCCTGGGTTTAACATTGAGCTGACTCCTGGGTTCAACATTGAGCTGATGTTAAACTCCTGGGTTTAACATCAAAGGAGACACAGCTGCAAACTGGCGTTAAAAATGTACACATTGCACTTGTTAAAATAATTTGACTCCTCCAGGAGAACATCCCTTTCGTCCATTCAGAGCGCCTACATTTTCTTTGGGGTACATCCAGGGTTCCATCAGGTCAGAGCTTTCCGTACATACCTCCCATTGCATTTTCTGTTGTGGTAATGTCATTGTCAGGTGTCAGATTTCTCATGTGTGTGTGCTGTGGGTAGGGGGCGTTTTCCCTGCAGCACAGGACCCTGACCACTCGGCTGCCTAGGTCCTCTTGCAGACTGATGCGGAAGATGGAGTCAAAGAATCTGGAATTACTTTCACTCTGGGAAAAGGCACTGAAGTTGTTGAGCTGAACACTCTCTTAAGGTTCCATAATGCTTAATGTCACTTAGATTCCAGTTCTTACCTTCTTTTTCTTTGTATTTATTGCGCAAAGTGAGTAAAAACAATCTTTCACCGTTTATTTATTCCATTGGGAGAAATGAAAAGGTGTCAGAATTTGGCCCCTCCCCTTGTAGTCACGGGGATTCAAGGATCTCATTCCATTGCTCTGCAGAGCTTTGGGGACCTGAACTAGGCGAGTGACTGAGGGACCTGAGAGGGTAAGTGTGCACTCACATAGCAAGGCTTATTGTGATGTGCACAGTGAGTCTGCTGACTTTTCAAAATACTTCACACTCACTGAGTTGGTTTCAAATTCATTGCTCTTCATGCCGAAAAAGCCTTTGGCCCTGCCCAATTTCAGAGCTCTCCTCTGGGAAGAGCAGACTGTGTAGGATACGCATTGAGCCATGAGTTAGCCTTTCTTTTCTCAGAGCTGGACCAGAGCTCAGGGGTAACCTGGAGCTCCTCATTTTCCAGAGATAAGGAAATTGAGGCCCAAGCAGCTGCTCAACTAGTCACACAAATGCCCCTGATTTTCTAAAGCACTTTCTCTCCTGAACATTTAAATACAAATTATTGGTGTGTGTTTTTCAATGCATAATTCATGCACAGCGTACAAAATTAAAGAAGCACAAAAAAATGACCTTTGCTCGATCAATTTCAATGGATTATTGGGACTGAAGCCAAATTATGACCTGCTGAAGAGTCAGGGCCTGGGAAGGAAGGACGCAGATTCTCTAACTGGTGGTGCTTCTCCTATGGATATTTGTGCTGCCAGGTCTCTTAGCTGTAGAATCAAAGTCTTGCCCCAGTAAGAGATTTTAATATTGTTGAGCAGATAAAAGGGGAAAGAGAGAGAAAGAGAGAGAGAGAGAGTGCCAAGGGAAACTTTCTTAAATTTTAAGTGAATACCACCAAGGTGGCCGCTGTTGCAGCTTTCCATAGGCTGGCATTCTGTCACTCCATCAGCCAGTCCTTCTACAAACTTCTCTTGAGTGCTCCTGTGTATCAAGAACTTGCCCAGGCACTGGAGATAAGAATTTTAAAAAGAGGGAGAAAAGAGACAGAGATCTACATTTAAGGAGAAGGAATGTACAAACTTCTCAGGGTGGCACACATGAAAGAAGTAACAGTGCAGTGTGAGAAGAACTAATTTTTAAAGTGGGTACACGTTACATGGAGAGAGGGTTGATTCATTTCCAAGAGGGTCAGGGATGGCTTAGGAGCAGAGGTGAAGCTTTGAGATGAGTCCCGAAGGGTGACCAGGAATTCGCCAGGCAGAAGGGGGTGACTCAGCAGTAATTCTGTCTCCCTCTTCATTAAGTCAACGGTGTACTGGTCACGTTTTCCCCATGCAGTGACCGTTGACCATGACAGGTTTGTGAGCTGTGTTTTAGCTTCTCCTGTGACTTTACTTGTCTCTGGTCTAGTTGAGACTTTATGAAGCTGCTTTCTCCATAACAGCACACTATATGGGCGGCCCCCAAAGGTTGCATAAAACTCAGCAAGGTTACAAAATATGTTATGGGACAGGCCATTGTAACCACTCTCTGTTAACAGCCAAGACTTTGACCTTGGCTGACACACACGGTGGAGGGACCCTGTGCACATTGTATATTCCCGACATAGATTTGAGGCTCTTTTGGGCCGATGGCTGTGTTCAGCACTTTAGGGCCTTCACCATCCTTCCCCTCCTCCTTTCCCATCCCTCCCGGCTGTCTGATAGACATCTCAGGCAGGGGTAAATCAATTTCCATTTCTTTATGACTTTACTAAGTGGCTCTTTTGTGGTGATGTTGTTAGCTTCTGCCTTTTTCAGACCACAACATGACAGAATCCATTTTAACTTTAACCTTGCTACATAAATCAGGTGACTCACTGCAGTCTCGCTGAATGTTACAGGGCATTCACATTAAAGATGGAAAAAAATCCCATTAGCTCATCACTTTTTTCCTGCAGCCTTTATCAGATTACTTACCTAATCATTCTTTTATGACCCCCCCAAAAGAGAAAGAAAATAGTCTTTCCTCATTACCATGAAGAGAGTGCTTGTGTGCGTGTGTGCGTGTGTGTGTTTGTGGAGAGAGGGAAAGAGAAAGGGGAAGCAGACTTTTTCTCCACACTGGAATCAGACCACCGCAACCCAAATTTCTATTGAATGCACCAAACTTAGTTAACTTCTTGCAGTGGCCTCAGTTTGAGCAAGGAAAATCCACATTCTATGTATAGATCAGTGATTTTCAACCAGTGCGTTGCAAGAATTTTTAAAACATGCAATACTGACTTCTTTTCCCTTAGATTGTCAAATTAAAAAATGACAACAGCCAACACAACAATAGCTGTCCAGTGTGAATGAATCAAAGTTATATCCATTTTGGGGGGTCCAGATCAGCAAAAAATATATTTTGGTGTGCCGCAGAATTTTAGTAATTAGTTTAAGTGTGCCATGAGATGAAAAAGGTTGACAATTGCTGCTATAGATGAAAATTCTAGGGTTGCTTGTGCATCTCTTAAAGCTGTAAAAGATGAGATCAGCCTTAACTTTAGTTAAATGCATTTGCTCTTGTGACACAAACCAGAGCCATGTCAGTCAGTGATTTCTAGTGACCATCTCATCAGTGAGACGAAGGTTTGATGTAGGTACTGGTACACCTCTCTCTGAGTCGCTGACATACCTTCCGATGGCTTTAATCCAAGAGCACCAACCACCAAGGACTGAAGGATTCTGTCTTCTCACAACTCCAGGGTGTGAATATCTGAAGTATAATGATTCTGTATCCCATTAACAAAAGCGCTAGAGAGCACAGGATGGTTGGTTCAGCCCTAAATGCTCCATAGGAGAGCAAGTACAATATCGTCCGAGAGCTATTTCACCCAGAGGCCACGCATGTTCTAAGAGCATGTTTCAAATACTTTCATATCCTTCCCCCAGGGTATGATTCATAGTAAAACTGCACCTCAACAACTATCCTATTAAATGACCTGAGAATTTTAATATTGAAGCAATGGCAACACCAAACAAGTTCATCAAAATTTTTCCTATGCTTTGGGGATACGTTGAGGATTTGATTATTTTGCCCATTTATACATAGATGAAGTGTTTTATAGACTGAGCAAAGGATAGAAGGAGTAGAAATTCCCATTCAATTTGTTAATTTACTTACTTTTCATCTGAAATAACAAAATAAAGCCTTTTTAAGTAAAACGCCGAAAATAATGGATGGTAATGCTGACCTAAATTAAGTTTAACCTTCAAATTACTCACGAAAAATGTCTATAAGTAAGTTCAATAGTAAGCAACTTAATGCTTATGACTAACGTTTTCATGGACTTTAACATTGTACATGTATTAGACTAACTGCAAAGTCATTTTATTTCATCTTTAATAGTGTATTATGTTGTGAATTCAAGATATTTTCTTGATAATAACGTAAAGGCATTTAAAAAAAATTCTGTAAGTTAGTCTTCCTATTCCTTTGGAACAATGAACTAACAAGGTTTGGTTTTGAATCTGACTATCTGAACACTTTACAAAGTGAACAAGAAAATAATTTGGGGACACTATTTAAATTTTCAGATCTACAGTCTATTTTTTCACATGGCAACCAATCAAATGTGTTTTCTCCACTCAGAAATTAAGGTCAGGATACAGATTAACAGCTGTTCGACTTGTGTGATATTACTGTGCTAACCACAGAAGCCATATGTGTGGCAATTTTTAAAAACATACACCTTTTGTATTTAAAATTATTTTCATAAAATGCCGACATCGGTTTGTTTGCGGTGCTTGCATGTCTTAGTTTGTTGATTTCATGCCAAAACATACACGAGAATTGCACCCGCTTTTACAGTCGTCTGTGCCGTGGATGCCCTGGCCCACCGTGTGCTTAACAGAGACCTTGGGGACACTGTCAGTGACTTCAGAGGCTTCTACAGCAGCTCCCAAGTGATAGGCAGCTCAGGCGGGTGAGGGGGCTAGTTTGTAAAATGCTTCTATAAATAATGTTACTAATATATTAAAAATATATGTATTATATTTTATAAACATATAATATACAGGGTAGGCAAAAGTATGTTGACAGTTATGAGTACGTGAAACAGTTTATTGCATTATTATTTATTGTATTATTTTCCATTATGAACAACTGTAAACCTACTTTTGCCCCACTCTGTGTGTGTATGTAGACATACATATATACATACACACACACATATAGAGAGAGAGAGGGAAGAAATACACATACAGGAGATGTTTTGCACTATTCATGCAACTCTTCTGTAGATTAGTCACTATTAAAAAAATTAAAAACTTAGCATTTTAAGTGAGTTTCCAGTGCTCATTGCTGTCTTTTAATTCGTGAAATGTGACCCTGGTCAGGGGACCTAAATATCTTTTCCATTTCTAAGGCGTGCTGGTGTGTTTTGCTTCCTAACCAGATCGGTCCTGAGAAAGGTGTTGTGCACCTGGCCGTGGCGGCCGCTCTCAGTGCTGTGTGGGACCTGTGGGCGAAGCGGGAGGGACAGGTGAGTCACTCAGGAGCACTTCTTTGGAGCAACACGGCACGTACAGAGGAGTAAGTACTTCCTCTGCGAGCAGCCTGAAAGGCCAATCCACAGCAGGCCCCAAAGGAAACAGGCAATTGTTTGATCGTATTTCTCCCTTAGAGATATTGGCAGCAGTTAGGAGATGATGGTGGAAGTAGTTAAAAGGGCTGAGGAAGAAGGGGGGAAGCAAAGGTGAGGGGTTAGGAGGCAGCATTAGAAACCGATGGGCAGGGGTTTGGTAGGGGGAGTTTGCATTTACTTCCATACTTGACACATATGTTTTACAAATCTTTTCTTTCTTTCTTCTAGCCTCTGTGGAAGTTACTTGTTGACATGGTAAGTAAATTCTTTCACATTATAATTGTTTCTGTAAATGAAATGGATTACTTGCCTTTTGATAATCAGTAAATATACTCAGGACTGTCAGTGGATCACTGCAGTGATGATAAAGCATGAAACCAGTAAAATCTGATATTTCAGTAACAGCAGTGCCCCCTGCAGGCAGGGTGGCCCCATGGGAAGCACCAAGTTAGGTTCCCCCTCCCCCACATGGTGTTTTCACATGTAATACAAATTCTTGGGATGATCATAACTTCTCTGGGAACCTGATAGAGTTGGTTCAAAGACCAAATGAGAAAAGTGCTTTACAAACCCTGAAGAGCAAGATATTATTAAGATATTATTCAGTCACTTTGACTTCAGAAAAACGTGACAGTTGAGATGGTTGTGTCTCTGCTGTATGATCCCAGCAGGGCAGGAGCCAATTACTGAATTAGAAAGACACACACCTCGCTCTCCATTCTCCTCCACCTGTTTATAGTGGGGATGAGCATCTTTAGCACCAGGCAGACCTGGCTTTGAATCTGGGCTCTACTACCTACTGGCTGGGTGACCTTGGGCATGTCAGTTAACTTCTCTGACCATCAGCTGTCCCTGGGTGATGCCTCAGATGGTCGCTAAAATTCTAGTGGTGAACAAATGAAGGCCTTGTTATTATTTGGCATCACAATTGAGGAGAAAAGAGAACACCATTGCCTTGAAGACTGTTGGGCCAGCGGACGTCCCTTCTCTGGAGGAAAGTAAAGACAGGAAGATATCACACCATCTTGCTGACATGGTTGTGGGTGGCATGGGGGCACCCCCTGAAGGGGCCTCCTGAGCCACCTTCAGGCTCAAGGTTAGCCTTTCAGAGGGATACAGGAGGAGGCCCCTAAAACTGAATGACCTTAGATGCCTGAAATCTTACCTGTGGACGTCTCATTCTTTTGGATCCTGCTCCTTGTTTCCCTGCCAGAACTCTTAAAAGAAGCAGAATCTCAGCATTGAAAGAGCTTTTATGATTTTTCACGGTTATAGTGGAGTATTATTGGTCACAGTCAAACCTGAGTGGGGAAGCTACCAATTGCTTCCCAAGCGACTGTTAGTTGGGGTGGCAGGAGGTCACAGCCAGAGCCCTAGCTGAATGTCTGCCTCCCAGTGTGGCCAGAGCCCTGAGCGGCCAGAGCCCTGAGCCTGGGCAGGAAGGAGTGGGGAGAGGAAGTCAGCATGCTGGGCGCTCGCACGGTTAATCCACTCTGTGCCTGTCAGTGAAGTGAACTGTCCCTATTTGACAGGAGAGAAAATTGCCCAAGGTTATGCTGCTCATAAACGGTGGGCACAGGGTGGACCCTGAGCGGCCTGGCTCTGAGACCAGCCTCTTTCCTCTCCCTGTAAGCTGCCCCAGTTGCACAGTCAGCCCTGAAGTGAAGAGCAGTGATGTATAGAGTGACATGTACTCACCTATCCATTTAATGTGTGCTGAGTGCTTGCCTCACACCCTGTCCTCTTTCCAGAAGCCTGGAATGGGGCACCTAGGTTTCGAGGGAAAGGAGAGATGAAGAGGGAGTGAGGGGTCCGTTGGAGTGTGAGGGCCTAAGGACTTCATCAGGAGGCGGCCATGACCCTCTGGAGGACTCTACACCAAGGGATGACGGAATCAAACATAACACAAATCCCAAAGGCCCTTTCCCGGAAAGCATACGTCCCATGTAAGCAGATTCTTAGAAACACAATCCACTTGTGAATTGATTCGGGCTTCCCCCCACCACCACCACCACCACGCTGCCAGGATCCCAGGACACCGCTATCCTGCATTGATTTCAGGTACATCACCGACATCCTGACTGAGGAGGAAGCCTACGGTGAGTCATAGTCTAGTGATAGAACTGGAAGCTTTCTGGCACTTGCTGATGTGTAAGCAACATATCTTGTGCAACAATTGTTTTCTGAGAGAGTGACCATGCTCTTTATTTTTACCAGAAATACTACAGAAAGGTCAAGTTGGTAAAAAAGAAAGAAGTGGGTTGTGGGGAAATTTCTTTTATTATTTTTGTTATCATTGTTTACTTTTGAGTGCTCCTCTCCTTTGGGGGTTCATATTGTCCTCCCAAATGCCTCGTGCCCAGCAGCCAGGTCCTGCACAGCCAGTTGAGTCTGGATGAAGAAACCTCCCGAGTGTGACTGTGCAGGAAGGCCCTTGGCTACTGGGCCATCCTAGAGAGTATCCTGACACCCCCTAGTTCCCCCACCTACCCACCCCATTTGACATCTTCAGAATGTGCATGATCCTGAATGTGACCTGGGACCGGACTAAGGGCTGGTGCAGAATCAGAAGGAGATCCTCTGGGGGCAGCATCTTAGCTACAGGCAATCTAATCCTGAAGGTCTCTGGAAAGAGCAAAGTGTTGACAAGTGTGTTTCCACAGAAGAGCAAATGCTAACGCATGGCTACCCCCTCCTACACCATGCTGTGTGCCTGACTGGGGTCCTCGGACGACACACTGAAGCAGGTAGGCATTGCAACCTGGTTTGATGGGCAGGTTTTCTATTTCTGGCTTTCTGGAAGAATGTGTAGTGCCCGCAGCACAGTGGCTGGCACATGGTGCGCAGTCATCGTATGGCTGACTTATCACTCTTGCCCATCAGACTCTATTCATCTGCAACTGAGAGACAGAGAAACTAGATTACATTTCTTACTCTTACATCCATTAGTTCTGTGGATGCCACAGACTATCATAGCTTTAAAAAGAGGAATATAAATGCTCCATCCCCGCTCCAGGAGTGTTGTGACAGATAAAGAAATGGTTGCCATAGAGACGAGGAAAGAAGTCACCCTACAAGTACAAAGATTTATGCTTGTTGGCTAAGCTGTTTCTGCTCTGAATTTAAACAACACATGGCTGTTCTGGTTCTTGCTACAACCACAGCATCTGTGAAACCAGATCAGAAATGACTGAGGTGCTCATTAGACCAAGAGAGCCTGTTCGTATATGGTGATGGCTGTGCTCCTCTCCCCGAAGCTCCGCACTGAGGCACTGAAGGGCGGCTGGACCAGGTAACTTATTTGTGGGATAATGAACTTGACTTTTCCACTTGCAGCATGAGAGGCTCTGCAATGGAAAGGAGCCAGGATCAAAAGGCACTAAGAGGGACAGGATTCTTCTAGGAGCAGTCTGGTGTCTAGAGATAAGTAAGAGGTGTTTCAGCCTAGGCCAGGCTCTCTTTCCAAAGATAAGACATGAGTCTTAATTAGAATCATAGAACATCAGAGTTACAAGAGACCTTGGAGATCACTGGTTTTAAGCACCAAGCAGTGTAAGCAGAGTCTTAGAAATTCACTAGAGCCCGGCCGGCCGTGGCTCAGCGGTTGAGCGTCAACCTAGGATCCAGGCGATCAGGGTTCGATTCCCAGTCAGGGCACATGCCCCGGTTGCGGGTTCAATCAATGACTCTCTCATCAGTGATGTTTCTATCTCTCTCTCTCTCTCCCTTCCTCTCTCTGAAATCAATAAAGATATGTTTTTTAAAAAAGAAAGAAATTCACTAGAAATCCACTCTTTACTAGCAGTAACAAGCACTGATTCAGCTTTTACTTGAAAACCTCCAGAAGCAACGAGCTTAATTTTATAAGGCACTTTTGCATGGTTGGAGGGCTTCAAGTGTTAGAAAGAGCTTCAGTGTCCTGAGCCCTTTGTTTCCATATAACTTCCAGTCACTGGTCCCAAATCTCCACAGAGTTCCCAAAAGCCAGGCCTCTGAGACAGCCCTTCTCTTCCCCGGGCCGTGTCCTCTCCCGACTAGCCATCTACACTTATCTCCTGTCTCCCTCCTGCGTGGTTATGGAGCCCTGAGCATCCTAGGGTCTTCCTCTGGCTGAACTGGTGGTCAGTGGCCGTGGATCCTGACACAGTGCAGGACATAGGGGGGCCATCATCTCTTGATCTAGTCACTGTGAGTCTGTCAGTCCAGCTTAAGGAGGCTCATTTGCTGGGATAAGTCACTAGGCTTTACATAACTCTCTGTCGGTCTGACTGCTTGGCCTCTTGCTGCTCAAACTGTGGTTTGTGGAGCTGGTGCACCAGCACCCCCAGGAGCTGGTCAGGAATGCAGACTCCCAGGCCTCTCCGCAGACCTGCTATGTCAGAATCTTCATTTTAACAAGACCCTTGGGTGAAGTGTATGTTTGAGAGGGCTGAATTCTTGTGAACGCCTCAGCTGAATACAGGGTGCGGGAGTGAGAACTTGAAGGAGCCAGCATGATGTAGTGGAAAAAGGCTTAGAGATGTGATGGATTTGAAATCAAATCGCCTGCAGGTACTTTCTGTGCGATCATGGGAATGTTGCTCAGCCTCCCTGAGCCTCATGTTCTCCCTGTAAATAGGCAATAATATTAACTTGTGGTTCTCCTCAAAGTTGCTGTATCTGGAAAAGATCAGCACAGTCAGGATTGATAGCAGGTGCTCAATAAATGCTGGCACGTTCTCTCTCTGCTCATATCCAGGAAAGGCTGGAGCAGTCGTAGCCGGTGAGTCAGAGAAGGCTGAGGACAGATTGCATAGATCTCCCATCCCAGGAAGCCCGCGCCCAGAAGCTGGCCCTCCCACCTGGGATAGAAAGTGTTTAGTGCTGAGGGGAGGGAAGGGGAGAGGAAAGCAGCAGATGCCTGAGTGTGTGTTGTTCTGCTAGCGGCCTTTTGCGATGGGAAGTAGAGGGAGGACCTCAGGTTCTGTCCGGAGCACTGGCCTGGATGTTGAGTGTGCAGGGTGCAGAGGCTGGTGAGCAAGGGAGAGGATGCCTGCCTTCCCTGTGGTGGTGGCACCTTTTCCACAGGGCAGTGTCACACTCAGGCCGACCATGCCTCCCCTGACAGACGAAACAACAGCTTCAGCAGTCATGGGGGACAGTGTGGGGCCCAGGTCCGGAGAGTAGTTGGGTGTCAAAACAGATTAAGGGGGCTCCTGAAGTGACCAGATGTGATATGAAGGAGACCTCTGCTGCTCCCTGATTATGTGACTAAGTCACTTCAATCCCCAAACCTCGGGCCCCTGCACCACAGGGTCGACCTCTCACTGAGTTGATCTAGGACGAAGCCCTCTTGTAAGGGACCAGCAGATAGGATATTTTATCAACCGTACTCTTTCCATTTGGGATGTGACAGGATGGCTCACTCAGTTCCCCTTCCCAGTCCCCCACTCTCCTCTTCAAGTCTGTGGCTTTTATGTTCTTAATTCTCTTTCATGGCACAGCAGATACTCAGTTAATGTTATTAAAGATCTAACTGCCCTCTCAAGTTCCTTAACTTTAGGTCAGCAGGTAATTGATGGTCATTGATTGCCCTGACAGTGAGTAAAGAGATACTATTCGCAGGGTTATTTTCAAGCGATTTGTCTGAAGATTGATTGGGAAAAAGCAAGAAGTTACTAGAGAATGTGACCTGTGAATTATTGACAGAGGTGATTGTGTCCAGATAAAATCCAGGTATCTTTGCTAAGTCAGGGGACATAAACTCTCAAACCAAATTGATTTTACAGGTTTAAGGTGAAAGTGGGTGCTGATCTCCAGGATGACAGCCGCGGATGCTGACTCATCAGAAACATGATTGGACCTGAGAAGACTGTGGTAAATATCCTCTCCTACCACTGAGAAATTAGCAGCCTTACAGAAGTCTTTGTCCAGGGCCCAACTGCAACTCATTTCAAGTGAGGGTGAAAAAGCATTGGGAATTTTAACACTGAATGCCAGAGGAAATACAGCTTTGTGGTCTTGTTTCTGTAGGTGAACTCTTTAAAAAAACAACAACTGAGGAGGCTGATAGTTAAAAATTTTCTTATTGTGCAGAACTAGTTAAGATCAGGATTAGGGACAGTTCCTTCTTGCTCATATGAATGCACCTGAGCAAACAGGTCTCCCATTGGTGCTCAGTGTGTCAGTCATTTAATCTCCCTTCTTAACAAGTCTGATCAACACCTAGCTCATCAGGTGAGCACGTCTCAGGGAGCCACTGTTGAAGAAATGCTGGAACTTTGACTGAAATAAATGAAAGGACCACTATTCCTAACTGTGTAGTTTTAAAAACATTTTTTTTATTATGTGTAAAACATTTTCATAAGAGGAAGTCACAATAAGATGTTTTTATGAAGATTTAGAAACTTGTTTTCTAAGTTAAAATAGAAGTTTGGAGTCCTTGACCTAGGATCAGATGTCCCATTATTTATAAAAGAATTAGTGTTACTTTTGTCTTATGAGGTCATCTTCATCCAAATTATTTATAATTATTGATTCTGTGTGTGCTGTCATCTGGTTCTCATAGTGTTCCATCAGGGCACTCTGACCACATGGCACATTCCTCTAGAGCAGCGATTTTTAACCAGTGTGCTGCAAAAACCTTTAAAACTTGCAATACTTGACTACTGAGTCAGGGAAGTGACTTCTTTTCCCTTAGATTGTCAAATAAAAAAGTGACAACAGGCAACACAACAATATCCATTCCATGTGAATGTCCTGTCTCTAACCATAAACATATAGGTCATATAATAAAGTTGCATCTTCTTGGTTAATTCTTGGTACCAGAAATCCTTTTATATAAGTATAGGCACCTCATTTTTTAAAAAGTCACTTTGGAGCAGAAAGGGTAAATAATTACTCCTATTATTTTTTCTGTAAATCAATCAAAATTATACCTATTTTTTGTCAGATTGCCAAAAGATGTACTATATTTTTTGGTGTGCCACAGAATTTTAGTAATTAGTTTATGTGTGCCGTGAGGTGAAAATGGTTGAAAAACGTTGTACTAGAAATAGCTGTCTCTGTGTCTCTCTTCTTGAAGCTTGATAATGTCGGGGATGGAGGAGCTCTTTGCTAGTTTCTGCATACCCACCACCTGACTTCCAGGCAGGATCTCTGCACACGGAGAGCTAGGGCCTTGGAGTAAGACGTCTAGACTTGAACTCACCGTTTACTTGATTTATTATCTGTGGGCAAGCTACTTAACTTCCCTGCATATCAGTTTTCTTATCTGTAAAATGGGTTAATATGAACTGCCTCGTAGAGTTATTATAAACATTAAATGGGACAAAATGCTTAGTTGCATAGGTGCTACATTAACGGTGGAGTTCGGGTTATTTATTATTGTGCCAGACACCTAGTAGGCAACAGTTACTAAATGACCATTGAACACACTCAGTATTGGCTGTGTATGATTCAGAATGTGATAAAACGGTTTCTACAAACAATGAACATTGCAATGTAAATGTATTCGGGTGGCATCTAAATGCAGATCAGGTCAGAGCTCCAGGGCCAGTGAGCACTTGTCATGGGCCCAGCCCAGGGCACTGCTGGACATCTCCTCCAGAGACAGTACAGTAAATTCTCAGTTAATATTGTTGATAGGTTCTGTGACTTTAAGTGAAACGATGTATCACAAAACCAATTTTACCGTAGGCTAATTGATATAAACAAAAGTTAAATTCCTACAGAATCTCATCAACATTATAACACATTGATGTTATTCGAGGACTTGTAGTATCTAGAGCCAAAATTCTGGTCTCTGTGGCTGCTCTTTAGCTCCTTTTGTTATGGTTGCGTGCTGGTCCTCCAAGAAAAAATGTCAGGCTCCCCAGGGGAGCCTTGCTCAGCAGTTGGTGGCACTGAGTGACAACGTTTCCTCCCCAGGAGCCACAGCCTCGTAGCAAGGTCAGCCTCAGCAGACCTCACCTCGAAGGGTCTCTCCTTACAGATGATGGATGCCAACCAGCACTGGGATGTGCCCGAGGCCGTGGAGTGGATGTCCAAGCTGGCTGAGTTTAAGCCACTGTGGATTGAGGAACCAGCCTCCCCGGATGACATTCTGGGGCACACCACCATCTCTAAGGTAGAGAAATTGCAGCTGCTGGTATCTTGTCACTGCCATATATTTTTTGTTTGGTTTTCCAGAGTGGTTGCAACAGATCCTAAAATTCCTTTGCCTGTTCTCTTTTACTTTTCCTGATGAAGTAGCTGCAATAATTGTAACTTGTAACAAGTACTGGAATTGCAGCCCTGACATCCTTTTGTTTACTTCAGTTTATCCACTGCCCATTATTTCTGTTTATTTTAGAGAAAGTAAATGGCTAAAAACTGAAAGGCTACCAACCATCCTGTTGATGTAAATAGACATGGTTCTCATGCTTTGTAAATATAGAAATCTGACTGATATTAAAATATTTTACCCAGAATAAAACAAAATATGTAGATTCCTCTAGATGACTCAAAAAAAGAGGCTTGCTTAGCTATGTCAAGGTCAGGCCTCCCCAAGAGAAGGCTGTTTCCTTTGCACCAGGGCTCCTTTTCTGAAAATCCACCCTAATTAGGGGCCAGCCTTTCAGGTTTAGGAAGAACCTGATTTGTCAGAACACCTGAGAAACATCCCATCTCTCAGGGAAAGTTTCCTATTAGCCCAGCTTACAGCAATGATTAATTAGCCAGCTGGTTAATTCAGAAGGAAAACTGACTTGTGGGAGCTCTCGATTTTGGTGTCCTCTGACCAGAGCAAGCTCCATGAGTAGCCCTGTTCAACCAAAGGCTGCAGGATGAGTGAGGAATCTGGCAGAATTTGGTTATGGGATTGAAATATGTGGTAACGTCAGACCAAGATGGGCCAACACATCCATCTTTGCAGTGCAGATTTCCTGCTTCTGGCCCCAGGCAGCGCTTGTACCCGCTTGGCCCACACATGCCTCGGACCCCTTTTATGTTTTCATCTGATAACCTTTCCCACCTCACTGTGCCATCGGGTTAGTGTGTTCATTTGGCTTAGAGGCCAGTCCCGCCTGCCTAGGCTCCTCGTAACAGCTTTCTCTCCTTAAGATGACTTCTCATTGCTTTACTCTCCTCCTTTATGCGTTGCTCTTAAAATTTCCCCTCTGAGGACAGTCTTAGTCCCACGTTCCAGGGAGAACACCTCATTATGTATCTGCACGAAGTCACAGGTCCTACTGGGGTGTGGGGTCCACTTCTCTCAGTAAGTCAGCATATGATCTCCATATGTCAGACACTCTATAAAAGCCTGTGCCTGAGGAATGCCCTCCACTTTCCCCACTTGACAGCCTGGCTGGAGAGAAAAAAATAAGATCCATGAAACAGATGGGTGGAACCCGGGGCGGGGGCCCTGAGTGCCGAGGACAGTAGAAAGAAGGCCACAGAAGGGAGACGTGGCTGTGGGCTGGGCGGCAGGAGCCGGCCTCGTGGAGCTAAGACAGCTGGCTGTAAGGAAAGCTGCGCTGCAGCTGAGGGGCACCCGAGCAGGAGCCGTAGGGGGCCCACAGCCTTTGATTTAAACACAGCAGAAACCCTCTGAGGAATCGTCCCAAAATGAGAATCTGGTGAGGGTTCATGGGTAATCAAGACTTTTTGTCTTGGGGTTCTTGCGGCGTAGCCGTGTCCTAGTGGCTGCCAACTTGTCCAAACAGCGACCAGAACCTCTGCCACCTAGAGAATCTCCTCGGAAGCTCTTCTGGGCTTCTGTCCTCAGAGGTTTTGTTCACATGGGGGAGGCCACCCCCTCAGGAGGCATCTGAAGAAGGGGGGCAAGAGGAACCAAGGCAGGGGGGTGCTGAGAGCCAGCACAGTGGGGCCGTGGGGGGCTCAACGGAATGAGGGTACAGGGTGGGGCTGTGGGGAAGGCAGGCACGTGGGGCCAGGTTATGGGTCTGCCGGCTCAGAAGATGCAGCTGAACACAGTGAGGCCCCGTGGGTTCTGGAATGAGAGAATGGGAATAAAGATGATTTGACTGGCAGCAACGTGTAGGTGGCACGGGTACAGGGGAGGTGAGGAGTGGGCAGGAGAAAAGGGGAGGCGGGGCTAGGGGCTAGGAGGCTTTTGCATTAAGCGGGTAGAGGGCAGCTAGAATAGGGCAGATTCAGGAGATATTTAAAGGAGGAAATAAAATTTGGTCCCTATTCAGAGTCAGAAACATATATGCTTTAAAGATGGTAGAATGAAGAAGTTAAATGGCTTTTCCCTGCTACCACGGCTCTTCCCTGCCCGTCCCCGTTTTCTGTTGAGAGGTAGAGCCAAGCCTACTTAAATTAGGAGTTTCAGGAACCATAAGCTGTGCTAGATGGCACCTCAGTGACCAGCCTCTCTAATTTCTGACCAGCAGGTAGTCTGTGACTCGCCCAAGTCCCCACATCTGTTAGAGGCAGGCCGGGTAGTGGAACCGGGGACGCCTGGCTACTAAAGTAAGGAATTTCTGCAGGGAAGCCAGCATATCTAGTGATTCAGATGCCTCCTCTGGCTCTGGAGTCAGCCGAGATTCCCAACCCTGGCTCCACAACTTTGTAAGCTTTGTGATCCAGGATGGTCACTCAACCTGTGTGCCTTTTCTTATGCGTGAAATGGGGATCGTGATGGCTCCCATCCCCGGGGGTTCTGATGAGGAATCTTTTGGTTTTGGTTTTGCACAAGGCCGGGTAGTAAGAGCCCAGAAAGTGTTAGCCATTAGCGTCATTGATACTGTTCCCTAAACAATGGAAGGGCCAAGCCAGGAAGAAACCAAAGATGCCTGAGGGGAGTGTGCGGCTCTGCAGTCCCAGTGGGGGCTAGAGCCCAGGTGGTGGGGAGTGAGGTAGCTTCAGGGGGAAGAACACAAAGAGTAGCCTGGCCAGAAGATTCCAGCACCTCCCCAGCTGAGCCCAACCTGTAAAGTAGAACCTGTGGGCACCCACTGAGCTTGAAGTGACAGGCTTCTAGAATAACTACTGAAAGGGGCTCATCAGGGAGACAATAAGATGAGAATAAAGGGAGTGATGACCTATAAGAAGGAGTCAGCCAGGGGCTGAACCCCTCAAGGCTGTGACTTCTCCCAGTTCCACACCACTGCCCGGGGCCCCAGACAGAGTGCAGAGCGTAGCCAGGATGGGAACTAATGGCAGCATGTGGGCAAGCGCTCTCCCCCCCCCAGACACACGCAGCCCCTCCCACGTGCACACATTTCCCCTTGACTGCCTTGTGCCATTCCACAGCAGTCAGCTCTGAATAGTTAAACATCCAACAGTTAAATAGCTCTAAACTTCTAAACATGAATTTTCAGTTCAATACCTTAGGAAAATAACACTAGGTTGCCTTATATTTTATAGGCACTGGTCCCATTAGGAATTGGTGTTGCTGTGGGAGAACAGGTAAGTGACGTCTCTCTGGGGTCACACTGGCCACCTACCGAGGATGTCGTCCTATGTTAGGCTACATCACTTGTATTTTGAGCTGGGAAAATCTTCACAATCTTAGAAATTGGGTTATTTTACAGCACTCCATTAGAGTCAAGAGTCAGATATAGTCAAGAGTTTCTGGATTGTTCTCTGAACTCATATGACTAAGGTTATTTATCTTTTTCAAAGTGTCTAATGGAAATTTGTAAGGCAGCAATTTAAACTTGCAACTGCAAGGGCGGAAGATGCACTGTGTGGTCTAAGAAAGCCAGCTTCCAAACTGAGTAAACATGACTGCGTTCCCGCGTTGTGCTTACAAACGCGGCACACGCGCCTGCCAAAACCTGCGGCGCCGGCCCACGAGCGGGCGGGGAGAGGGAACAGATTCTCCGTCTCCCCGCAAAAGGAGCAATGCTGCTCTGCCGTGCTTCTGTTTGGCTGCCTGTGCCATCTGCTCGTCGCCGTCACCGCGTTTCATCCTGATGCCTCATTTCGCTGTGACAGTTATTCCTTAAGAGATGGCGAGCGGTGTGACTTTACGTGACTCACACTGTTCCACCTGCAGATTTGTAAAGAAGTGAGTGGGAGGCCCCCTCCTGGACTCTCAGGGCTTGCCTCCCGCCAAGGGGGAGCAAAGAACAAATACAGACCAGGCTTCCCGAAGGTCACTGATGAGTGACTTGGAATTGCGTGTTGCCAGGTTTGCAGATCCTGAAGGCCAAGGCTGACTCTTCTGCTAGTTTTATTGTAATTCTATTTCCAGTGCCACAATAGAGTGATATTAAAACTGCAGGCGAAAGCCGTGCAGTTTCTCATTGACAGCTGCAGGCTGGTAAGTGTCACTGAGAACCTCCCAGTGCTGCTGACGGCCAAAAGGTTTGAAAGTAAGGGCGCAGCAGCCTGCAGACCGAACCTCCATTTCCCTGCCCACGAGACACCTGCGGCTCCCTCCATAGTTTGCCATTTTGATTTTTTTCTGACTCTTTTAGGCTTAATCAGGGAATCTTTGATGATTTTCATCCTGGAATTTTATCCCTAAACATTAACGAATGATTTAATCACTTTCAGGCAATAAGAAAATCCGCAGGTTCTCCCCTCTCCCCTCTCTCTGCCCTACTCTTGGCATTCAGCAGAAATCTGCCTTCACTTTAGGTCCCGTTTGCCCGCATGCTGGTGGAGTTGGCCTCTGTGACCTGGTACAGCACCTGATTCTATTTGACTTCATATCAGTCTCTGCAAGCCTTACAGACAGGTGAGTGATGTGGCATTAACTTCCATAGTGCCCCTCAGTCCAGGCCAGATCTTTTAACCCTGCTCTGGTGACCAGAGGCACTAAGAACCCTGTCCATGGGCACATCCTGTGGCTCAAAGGCCAGGTTGGTTTTGCTTCCACTTTTCCATATGGGGCAGTAACAAGGAGACCCAGCAGTGGATAGTCATTTTTCTTCCAGGGGAGTGGGTTCTTGGTAGTCGAATCACTTTATTTTGTAAGTACATGGAGGTGGGGGCGAAGGTGTTTCCAACCCGGTGGAAGCCAGAACCCCTTCCTCAACCAGCACCTGTTTCTGACTTTCTAAAGCCCCACTTCATCGTACGTATATTCTCTGCTCTGTCCAACCCCTCTTCCTAACACTGGAGTCCTTCCTGATCTGGTTACATCATTACTGTTTCAGTCATCTAATTTCTGAACATGCCCCAGGTGAGCTTTAAATTAAGACAGTCTCCATCTAGTCATCTGCACACATACAGATTTATTATGCTATCCTTCGTCCTGGGATTAAATGTGGTATCGCAGAAAGATCACCAGAAGTATATAGGGAAAGCATAAAAACATGCATGGGAAAGGTAAACGCCAAATTCAGGATTGTGAGAGAGAAATGGGACCTGTAAACGTATATAGGGACTTCAATTATAAATACTGATTCCTTTCTTAAGCTGGGTAGTGAGTAGGCACATGCCGCCTTTTAGGATGTCTGAAGTATTTTTTTTTTCAGACTTGTATTTCTTTTTATTAAGGAATATTTAGGAAGTGTTAATATTTATGTTTTTATATTACCTTCTAATTAATAACTGTCCAGAAAGCACTCCATGTATAGTATTGGAAATATACTAAAACTACTGGACAGTCTGTGACTTCTGTGTATTGAATTTTAATCAGGATTCTTAGGGGAAGAAAGCGTATAGAGTTACCTAATTTCGCTCTCCCTCTCTGAAGTATTTTAAACTATAAAAGATAAAAATTCCTAGGATATTCTGCTTTTGCCCCTCTCATTCAGTTCCTGAAGGAAGGACCAAGGGGGGCTCCAACCAATCTTGGAAGGTTTTGCAGGCCTTGAGGTATGAGAAAAAGTGGGTCAGCCCTGAGCCACTGTGCATTGTGACCACGCAGGAGTGGGTGAAAGTGCCTCATGACACTCTCCTGAAAGCGACCTCACTGCTCAGGAATGTCACTGTGCAAGTAGAAAGCCACCAAACAGACACTGTGTGCCGTCTCCTCTCACTACCTCTGCTTTGTAATTCTCTGTGGATCACTGTTCTCTGTTTATTCAAGGCCCAACTGTCTCTCCAAAGCGCTGGTTCTTCATCTGTTCTTTGTAGATGATAGGAAGCAAACAGTGTCGTTGACGACTTAGTATTTCTGTCCACTGAAAGCATGAGGCCCTCTCGCCAGTTCCTTTGTGCATCCCCCGCACAGGGTATTGCCTCTCCCTCACAGCAGCTGTCCATTAGTCAGTGACTAAAGTTAAGCAGCAGCTAGGCCACTTGCCCCAGGTCACAAAACTAGAAAGTGGCTGACTCCAAATTTGAACTGATTGGTCTGATCCTAAAACCTGTGCTCTTCTAAATCATGTGTATAGCTGGAAGGGGCCCCATTTAGTGATTTTAACCTATTCATTAATTTTTGGCTAACGGCACCCAAATAACCCCAGATCCTTCTGGATCCTAAATTGAGTCCTTTTGGGGTGGCAAAACCTTTAGTTAAGAGACATTGGTTCATTTCATCTGAGCCTCCACATTGCTTTGTTTTATAGATGAGAACTGGAGGCACAGAGGTTGAGAGAATAATGGTTCTCAGCCAAGCCTTGACCAAGTCCTCCCTTTCTTCATGTGGCACTGCCCCTCCAGCAGTTGCCACCAAGTGAATTATCTAACTTAAGGCATTAATACCCGACCTGATTCCTTCCTCCTAGGATGTACAACTATGTCGACCACCTGCACAAACATTTCAAGTATCCTGTTATCAAGAATGCCTTCTGCCCGGCCGGGCGTGGCTCAGCAGTTGAGCATCGACCTACGATCCAGGCGATCGGGGTTTGATTCCCCGTCAGGGCATGTGCCCAGGTTGCCGGCTCGATCCCCAGTTGGGGGCGTGCAGGAGGCGGCTGATCAATGACTCTCTCATCATTGATGTTTCTATCTCTCTCTCTCCCTCTCCCTTCCTCTCTGTGAAATCAATAAAGACATATTTTAAAAATATATAATTTTAAAAAAAGAAAAAAAGGAATGCCTCCTACGGTGAGCTTGGGCAGGAAGACCTCCACGAGCAGGCCACTACTATACTGGTTCTCATGAGCTAGGACCTAGAGCACAAAGCTTTGACTCCTTAGAGATTATTTTCACATCTAGAAACAAATGGCTGTTTAATTAGCATCAAATTCCCAAGGCCTGTGGGTCAGGGTTTGGGGGTAACATTGCCCCTGACAAGGCCTCTCTAATGCCAGCTTTTCCTCACCAGCTGAGACTTTAACATGTGCACTCCTTGTGAAAAAACAAAACAAAAACAAACCTGGCACCAACTAGCAGGTTAGTCAACTGACAAGTTTTTACCGCCAATTGTGTTATCTGGGCCATTTTTCCTTAACATGTTTGAGATCAGGCTTCATTTTCAGAGGTTGAGTTATCAGAGAGTTGATTAGTTCACTAATCCTGTGTGCCAATAGTGTGTCCCTCTTCTCCATTGCAAACAACCAGAAAATTTATTTTTAAAATACTAATTCAGTTGCTTCTGGCTTAGACTTAAGAGCATTTTTAGGGTCCGAAGAAATACATAAAATAAATGTTTTTTGTTCTAGGTAGTTATTAACACTGCTTTTTTTTTTTTTTTTTTTTGGTCTGATAGGAAGCTGGATATTCCACGGAAATGAAGGAGGAATCTCTAAAGAAACACCAATATCCAGATGGTGAAGTCTGGAAGAAACTCTTTGCTGCTCAAGGGAATCAAGTGTTTAGCCCTCACCCGTTTCTTTTTCAAGTGAAAAGGCTTAAAATTTCTTGGGTATGGTTTTACAAAAATAGGGGAGAAAAAAAATCATCCTACCAATGAAAACAAATTCAGCACAGTCACATTAACCTCAGGAATCAGCTCAGTAATTATTGTTAAATTGTTTTAGCAAATAAACATACTCGCCTACTTAATCCTTAAATAAATTTAACTATCTCAAAGTATAAGATGTTCTTATAAGATTTCTATCAAGTGCTGGTACCCAGACATTAAACTGTACTTTGAAAATAAGCAGCATGTTGCATAATTTGTTGGAACAATTCCTTATTCTATTTAACATTTGTCACAAATTAGCAGAATAAAAATAGTTCTGCAGCACTGTGGAGTATCTGGTATGCAACAAACATAAAAAGATTCCACTGATTAGCCCTGAAGTGGTTTAGCATCTTTCCCAGCTTAGCCTAAGCATATTACAGAATTCACACTGTACTGAAACTATGGGTGAAATGATGTTTCATAGACTTTTTTAATAACCCTAAATAATTTTTTTAAAAATGTTTTTATTGATTTTCTTAGAGAAAGAAGGAGAGGGAGAGAAACATTGATGTGAGAAATACTGATCAATTGCCTCCTGCACCCACCCCAATGGGGATGGAACCTGCAACCTGGGTATGTGCCCTGACCAGAAACAAACTGGTAACCTTTTGGTCCACAGGATGATGCCCAACTGAACCACAATAGCCAGGGCTATCCTAAATAATTTTAATAATAAAATACAGCTAGAATTAGATAAATCATAGACAAATGGAAAAATAGTTTAGTCAGCATTTCTATAGTATATTCTAACACCGGCAGCATCCAAACAAGAATATAGCATGTTTAAGAGGGTTCAGTTCATCTATTTTAGGCAGGAACTATGCAGAATGGCAACAGAGATTTAAAGACAAAAGACCCAGATGAATGCAGAACACTTTATTATGAAAATATGTAAAACAAATAAAGCCTTAAATGTTCATACCACACCAACTACACATCATCATGACTAATGTTATTCCACTTGCTGCAATGTGAGGGAATAGCTTATAATTCTTGAAATTATTGATCTTTATACAAACGTGGGATTGAAATGCACGTACATGTTTTTGCTAAGAGTAAATACATTTTTACTCTCCTCACCTGATTCATAATCTCAGCATTTTCATACATCCTCACTCAGTTAAGGCCTTTTATTACTAAGAGAACCAGTAAAGTAATATTTGTCAGTGGCAACAGCATTAAGTTAGTGAATAATAATAGGTTACTAACTGATTTTTTACCTAGTTCCTTCTTCCTTTTGAGCACGAAGAACTTCAACCTAAACATCCAGCCCCACCCTGAAAGATTGACAGTATCCCTTAAACAACTCCTTTAAAAGCAGTCTAAACAGCCATTTCCATTTTAATAGTTGGATGAGGATTGTACCCTTCAATCTGAAAGTCTTCAGCCTTGAAGTCATCAATTGTCTCAACTTTTCGAAGGATTTTGAGCTTCGGGAAAGGCCTTGGTTCTCGCTGAAGCTAAAAACATCAGACCATTATTTTGCTATATCTGTACTACTTTAATTCTGCTCCCCAAGTCCCTTCATGAAACAAGTACACAGTATTTTATCAACAAGCATTATTTTCCAGGGCTGTAATACTATAGATACCTGTCCCCTTGTTATGCAATCCTATTGGAGCGCAGCAGTGTCTCCACACGCGGAGAGTGGAGGGTATTTTGTGGAATCATTCAGTGTAAGGAATCTGGTGGCTCACCAAGGGTAAGTTCTTATGATTGATTGTTCCAGGTAAATTTATTAAGGATGGGACACAGTTTCTTACTTTTGTATCTGTAACTCACAGTAGGCACTCAGAATGGTTATGTGAGTCCCACAATCCCCATTCCAACCATCCCTGGTAGAAAGCGCAAGGACAGATGACATCTGTTGACAATTAACAGAAAGGGATGCCAGCCAGGAGTCCTGGGGCTATGAGGATGTGACACGGGTCATGACCTCACATTATTCAGTTGAGCATGACAGGGGCAGTCAGCCAGAGAGAAGCACCTGGTTAAGCCTTGAAGTCACCCTCTAAGTCAAAGCAGACAAGTTTCCTCAAAGGAGAAACTTTCAAAACCTGAATCTAATTTGGAAGGGCCTAAAAGGTTTTTGGTTTGAAATTTTTATTCTTGGGGCTCATTATGCACAGACACTCTTATATTTTTATTGCCATTTCAAATCGTCTGTTGGCTACTATAATTTATGGACTTGAACAGATTTTTGAAAGTTCAGACCTCAGTACTGTATTTAGCATAAACTTAAGGGAAAACATTTGCATTTAACTTCTTCAAGTAAAAATACAAGTTGAAATGCTACCTCTGGGAAGGTCGCAAATTCCCTGGTCTGAATGTTGCTCTCCCTCTCTGATACTGGTACGTAGCCCCCAAAGCACCTGTCACATTAGGTGCCTATGGTTGCTGAGGCATGTGTCTGCCTTGTCTCCGGCCACCTGCCCACAACCTGTCCCTAAACTGAAGCCCTGCAGTTGGAACAGGTCACCTTCCCTCTGTCACAGCACCGAGAAGAATGCCTATTACAGGAGGGATGTTCTATAAATCAACCTTTTATCAAGAAAAGGGACCAATCTTCAAAGTGCAAGATAGGATTCTTACCTGCATTTTCAGCGGCTCAACATGATTCAAGTAAACGTGTGCATCTCCCAAAGTGTGTACAAAGTCACCTGGCTGAATTGAACAGCAGGAAACAAAACAGTGTTTTAGTTTTAACCTTTAAAAGACAGCATTTAAAAGACAGCATCATACAAACTCCATATATTTTCCAGGATCAACTGTACAAATAATGGTTTCTTTCCTTTTGCCTGTAAAAAAGAATGTATATGCTTAGGTTAATCCCTCTGCAACAAATCATTTAAAAACACATTATGTAGAGTATGCAGACATCTCAAAGCTTTTCAGAAAATAAAGAATTTAGCCTGGCCAGCATGGCTCAGCGGTTGAGCACCGGCCTAGGATCCAGGAGATCTCGGTTCAATTCCCAGTCAGGGCACATGCCTGGGTTGTGGGTTTGATCCCTGGCAAGGGGCTTGCAGGAGGCAGCTGATCAATGACTCTCATTATTGATGTTTCTCTCTCCCCCTCTCCCTTCCTCTTTCTGAAATTAATAAAAATATATTTTAAAAAAAGAAAAGAATTTAACCACTATGCTTTTAAGAAGTTAATTCATAAAAGTTATATTGTAGTATAAACAACCTATATAAACCTGTTCCTACAGACCACAAGACCACAAGGACAGGCAAGTACCATGGAAAGTTACAAAGTGAGCCAATTCACTTCTTTTTATATTTTTGGTGTTTTTTTTCCATTCTTTTCCTTTTGTTTTTTCCTATTTTTTTTTAATTTTTGCTTTTTCTTGTTTTTCGTTTAAGGAAAAAAATTTTGCTCTAGTTCATTTTCTTTTGTCTTCTTTCACATTGTTTTTTTATTTTTTAAGTTCACATTTGAAGCCAGTTCATGTCTTATTTAAAATTAACCAGAATTCTGTGCAATTACTTTTTTTTATGTTACAGAATCTAAGAGTTCAAGCACTCTAGGCTAGCAACAAGCGTTCCTTCCCGAGAGCCCACCTTCAGGCCGGTGATGTGTGCGATCATGTAGGTGAGCAGGGAGTAGCTGGCGATGTTGAAGGGCACGCCTAGTCCCATGTCTGCTGACCTCTGGTACAGCTGGCAGGACAGCTCGCCATTCACCACATAGAACTGGCAAAGGGCATGGCATGGAGGTAGGGCCATGAAAGGAAGATCTGAGGGGCCACACAGAGGAAAATAAGGAGGGGTGATGGCTTTAAACACAGCTATAGACAAAGTAAAACAGGAGCAAACACAAGCCAACTCATAAGATGGAGGTCATGAGAAAGAACCATTGGGCCAGTGACCCCCACGACCCACACCTTCCCTTCATGGCAAAAGCAGGCCATTCCAATCCCCAGGATGGCACAAACTCTAGAGACCTGTCCACTAACAGAAGCCTTCGGTGATGAATGTTTACAACGGAAGCAAGGCTCCCATCGGAGCTGAAATCAACTATTCGTGCTACGTTCACAGGAAGAATGCGGCCACTTGCAGGGGCCACAGGAAACTAGTGTCTCAGGCACACCCTCCTATATTCCAAGTCTCTATTCTAAATGTAAATATTCCACTGTGTCTTTATTACACCTTGAAGTTTAATTTTTAATACTGCTGATAAAAATGTTATTAAGATCAAAGTGGAAGGGATCTGAACTTCATATGCCCCAATTTAAAATGTTAAAATCTTACATGCATTTTTATAGGCAATTTAAAACACTTTCTGGAGTAAAAAGAAGTATAAATATACAAATCAAGGTGATCTGGGTCCAATCCCATCCTCTGATGGTGAAAATGGGGCCAAGTGTGACTTGCCCAGGGTCTCCCAAGTGACCATGGGGCTGAGGGCAGTTCCCAGGGCCCACTGCCCACTGGAGGCCCCTCCACATTTCTTCCCTTTGTGCTAATCATACAGTTAGGACATGAGAGGATGACTGAGATGCTTTCAACCTTTTGGATTCCAAGCACACAGGATAATTCTTCTATCATCAGGGTTGGTTTTGATCGTGTCAATCACCTTTTGCAGTTGGTCTACTCCTTGACCTGAATAATCTGTAGAATTATCAAAAAGAAAAGATGTGCACACGTTAATCACAGCATCTTGCGATGGCCTTACAGGTCATCTGTCACACTGTGCTTCCACATCCCCACTAGGCTCATGGATACAGGTTATCCAATGCACTCTAAACTTCTCAGATTTTGTTGGGTTATGTTGAGTTCAATGCCTGGTCTGGGCTTCTAGGTCTGTCCTCTGGAGCCATAACCAAGTCTATTTCCTTTTCTATGTAAAAGCCCTTTAAATATTTGGTTGGTCATGATGTCACCTCCTCCCCTTCCTCAATTTCAAGTTACTTCCAGTGGTCTCCAAAGGACTTAAGTCTCTATACCCACCAACTATTCTTGTCATGCTTCAGTGACATGATCTAGTTTATCCATGTCCACAGAAAGTACTAGGTCTTAGAATATAAAATTCCATACACGTTAACAACTAACAGAGGACTGTGGATCCCCTTCTATGACCTTGACAGTATTCTTCCAACACTTCCACCTAAAATTACAATTTGGCAGGTAAACGCCTATTCATCTGTAAATATCAGGAAATCTCTATAATTATTCTACCACTTTGTACTTTTCTCCGCTTCTGGTTTCTGGACTTTAATTCCTTGCTTTCCTTCTGAAATGGAACTGGAAGCTGAGAAGTACAAAATTTCACATTCTCCTCTAGTTAAGCTTCCACTTATTGGTGTCATACTATGTTTTAGTCCAGTAGTTCCTAATCTTTTTGGAGGAGAGCCTTGTCACAATCAGTTCCAAAAAAGGTAGTGTCAAAGATTTTAAAACAGATGAACTGTGATGGGACAGTTCTGCATCTTGATTGTGGTGGTGGTTACATACATCTACACACACACTAAAATTGCATACACACATGTGCTAATGAATACATGTAAAACTGGAGAAATCTGGTAAGCTCTGTGGATTTTGCTGAGGTCAATTTATACAAGATGTTACCTTTGGGGGAAGATGGGTAAAGGATACAAGAACCTCTCTGTACTTGACCCTATAATTGTTTAAAGATTAAAATTTAAAAATAAACAAAAAAGTAAAAAATTTAAAATAAATAAATAAACAAAAAAGAACAAACGCTCCTATTGAAGTCCAACAGCTGAGCATTCATACAACTTTAAACTAAGGACGTGATTTTACTTGGCCTCTTAAGCAAGAATAAATAATTGAACACCAGGCAGGATTTAAGGCATGATTAAGGCAGGGAAGTAGCCTCACATCCTGAGGATGTCCCAGGACAGAGGTTGTATACTAACAACCAACAGACCATTTACTACAGAAATAGTTTGGCCCACAAAGCACTTTTTAAAAAATTGTGGTAAAGTTTACATAACATTAAATTTACCATTTTAACCATCTTTAAGCTTGCAATCGGCAGCATTAAGTACATTCCAAATGCTGTACAACCACCACCAGCATCCATCTCCAGATCTTCTCATCTTCCTAAACTCTACACATATTAAACAGTACCTCCCCACTCCCCCTCTCTGGCCACCACTCTCTCTCTGAATTTTATTCCAGGTCTGCACAGCACTTTTATTGTCAGAAGAATTCTGACAATATCAGGCCCACATTTCTCTAGATGAGGTACGACTGTCCCCTGTAGATGAGACTCATGCCCTCCAGGTGGCGGGTCTCTGCCCAGCCAGCAAACTGTGACTTCCTGCACGCACCATGTACACGCACACAGGGACACATCAGTTTTTATAACCTTTGACTTAAGGGTAAGTGAGACAGACGGGCAAAGGATCAGGGCTGGACTCAGCAAGTGGTGCCACCAAGTGACAGAGGAAGGTGGATATCCAGGAACAAGATGTTTCATCTTCCTCCACCCAGCAGGATGAGGACAGGGTGGCCGGGAAATGAGTTGTAACATCGGTGTCACCTACAGTGAAGGGTGGCTTGGTCTTGAAAAGAAAAGGGAGATCAAAGCCTCAGCAAGGTAAGCTCTGATGAACTTCCACTCCCCACACAAAGATCAACTGTGTCACTATTTGCTAGTGAAACAAGGTATGGAAAGTGCCAAGCACCCAGTAACGCTAATCACTGAGTGTGATCTGACCTCCATGAGGTGTAGTTGCGGCTCCTGAACCTGAAACAGCCTCTCACAAGGTTAAAGTTATGCATCAGCTCCCCAAACACTGGCTTCGTATCCCCCACACTTCACTTGAAACCACAGAGCTATGACAGTACTCAGGAATCTGAGGCAGCACTGTCCCCTCACCTGAATCCATATCTTTGTATTCTGCCCCAAAATGCCTCCACTGAAAGCCATAAACTGGGCCTAAGTCTCCTTCTTTTCTGTTAGAGAATCCCAGGCCATCCAGGAATTCACGGGACCCATTGGCGTCCCAGATTTTCACTCCCTTGGACGACAGTTCTTTAGCATTTGTGGATCCCTGGAAGAGATAGGAGAGCAGAGCAGGTAAATGCACTCACCCAGGAGCCTTCGGAGCCATCGGGGTTCATCTCACCAAGCAGGGGACAGGCACTCAACACATCCCTGCACAGCCTGTCCTATCTTTAAGTAGGTTGATCCCAGCCCAAACTTTGGAGGGACTCCAAGTCAGTCAGATCCTTTTTCTGGAATCACCCTCTCAAATCTTTTTTCCTGTTCCCCTCAACTAAATTTTCTAGACTGAACACCTCCAAGTCCTTTAACTATTCTCACCCTATCTTCAACAAATGTGTTCTGTGTCCAAGTGTGATACCAAGAATGAATTTAATGCCTCACATGCAATCTGTTGGGAGTACCTTAGATCTGGTATATAGAATATTTGTACTGATTGGCCTAATCAGCACTAGCTTTTCTAACAAATGGATCTGTCACATATATGTGCCACTATCAAGTTATGTTTACCCCAACCTATACTTGCAGTTAAGGTATTGTTGGTTTTTGTTTCTGCCAAGCACAAGTCTTATGTTTATTTCTCTTATATTTTGTCTTATTAGATTTGGCCCTTGTCATCCTAACCTGTATCCTGATGTGTGTCCAGGTCAAGGACAGAACCCTATTGGCCTCTGGCATCTTCAGGTATGATGTGCCATAATGATTACAAGCAAGTCTATGGTGCCACACAACCTGGGCTCTGTGCCTGTCCTCTAACTTCCCTTTTTTTTAAAAAAATATATCTTTATTGATTTCAGAGAGAGGAAAGGAGATGGGGAGAGAGAGCTAGAAACATCAATGATGAGAGAGTAATTGATCGGCTGCAGCCCACAACCCAGGCATGTGCCCTGACCGGGAATCGAACCCTGATCGCCTGGATCCTAGGTCGATGCTTAACAGCTGAGCCATGCCCGGCCGGGCTAACTTCCCTTCTTTACCTTGATAAACCACAGCAACTCCTCCAAAACACCCTTCCAGAATACACGTTTGGTTGTCAGCAGAGGAAATTCATCTGAAAAACAGTTTGCCTTAGAATTTCAAGATGGGAACACAGCACATGCCATCCAACTGCCTCTAAGAAAGAAAACTGCCCCAGGACATCAGGCCCTGGAATGACTTGGAAAAGTGTGACTCCTGGCAAGTGGGCACCCGGGATCAGGGTGGAGCTCCCAAGCTGCAGTGCAAGTCAGTGACACAATTCAGATTGAGACTACCCTCCTAGCCCTGCATCCACCAGACACAGGAGTTCCACACAGTGAGATGAGGCAGGGGCAAGGGTAGGGACCAGGCAGGGATGCCTGTGGGACAGGGAAAGAGCAACCATCCACTACCATTAGTGAGACTCCTTTACAGAAGTGTGACTACAACAGGACAAAGCCTGAAAGCTTCCAGGGCCTTTCCACAATTATCCTGCCAAGGAAAGCTTGCTCAGGACCCAGGGATAATAGATATCACACTGGCCAAAACTGAAGAATTGTTTTTAAAGATTTGCAAAGCAAATCAACCTCTGTTTTAAGTGTACCAAAAATAGTTAACTGTTTGCCCTGGCTGGTGTTGCTCGGTGGTTAGAGCACTGGGTTCGATTTCCAGTCAAGGGCAAGTACCTGGGTTGCAGGTTGATCTCTGGCCCCCATCACTGTGTGTGTGGGAGGCAACCAATCGATCACACCGATGTTTCTCTCTCTCTCTCCCTCCCTCCTTCTCTCCCTTCCACTCTCTATAAATCAATGGGAAAAAATATATCCCCGGGCGAGGATTGACAATGAAAAAATAGTAACTGTTGAAACACTTTATACACATGATCCTATTTAATCTTCAAAACAACCCTCTTTAAGGCAGCTTTATAATCTCCATTTTACAGGCACCAGGAGGGAATACAGAAGTTTGCATCAAGAAACAGAAAAATAAAAATGTAAAAGCTTCTCTATTCTAGTTGTATGGTTGATATTCCTGTAACAAGGATAAAATTTTCAAGCATTATTGCCTGAACATTATTTCTTCCATTTCAAGTACATGGGAAGCTGAAGACCAGAGAGGTTAAGTAACTTGACCACGGTGCAAGAGGAGTTGGAGTAAAAACTAGATCTTTGCCATAGTGTAGAGAAGGCCAGGGTATGT